CTATAGATTCAACACAATCCTAACCAGAATCCTAGAAGGATTTTTTTGTAGCTGTTCAACTACTGGCTGATTCTAAAATTTATATAGAAAAGCAAATAGAAAACTAAAATAGCCAAAAACAGTTTTAAAAACAGAATAGAGTTGGAGAACTTAACCTACCTGATTTCAATACCTACCGTAAAGCTCCAGCAATCAAAATAGTGTTTTGTTGGCAAAAGTAGACACATAGATCAATGAAATAGAACAAAGAATTCAGAAATAAACCCCAAAAATGTAGCCAAGGAATGTTTGACATAGGTGCAGAGGCAATTCAATGGAGAAAGGGGGGTCTTTGCAGCAAATATGAACTTTGACCCATTCTTCACACCATATACAAAAATCAACTCAAAGTGGATCATAGACAAATGGAGAATGTAAAGCTATGAAACTTCTAGAAGAAAATATAGGAGAAAACTTTCATGACCTTGGGTTAGGCAAGTATTTTTTCAATACAACACCTAAAGCACAATCCATAAAAGAAAAAGTTGATGAATTGGACTTAATTAAAAACTTGTGCTCTTCTAAAGGCGTTGTTAAGAGAATGAAAAGACAAGTCACAAACTGGGAGAAAGTATTTGCAAGTCCTGTATCTGACAAGAGGTCAGTATCCAGAAAATATAAAGAGCATGGAAACCTCAATAATAAGAAAACAAACTCAACAATAATAAAAAAGATAAGCAAGAGCTTTAAACACTTTACCAAAGAAGATATACAGATAGCAAACAAGCACATGAAACGATGCTTAATGTCATTAGTCATTAGGGAAATATAAATTAAAACCATGATGAGATACCACTACATACTATTAGACTGGCTTTAAAAGAAACACTGATGACTGGGTTCAGTGGCTCATGCCTGTAATCCTAGCACTCTGGGAGGCTGAGACGCGTGGATCGTTTGAGCTCAGGAGTTCGAGACCAGCCTGAGCAAGAGTGAGACCCCCATCTCTACTAAAAATAGAAAGAAAATTAGCTGGACAACTAAAAATATATATAGAAAGAATTAGCCGGGCATGGTGGTGCATGCCTGTAGTCCCAGCTACTTGGGAGGCTGAGGCAGGATTGCTTGAGCCCAGGAGTTTGAGGTTGCTGTGAGCTAGGCTGACGCCATGACACTCTAGCCAGGGCAACAGAGTGAGACCCTGTCTCAAAAAAAAAAGAAACACTGACAATACCAAGTGCTGGCAAGGATGTTGGGCAACTGAAACAATCATACATTGCTGGTAGGAATATAAAGTGGTATCGTTACTTTGGGAAAGAGTTCGACATTTTCTTATTAAGTTAAATATACACTTACCATATGACCCAGTAATACCACGTGTATGTATTTACTCAGGACAATTGAAAACGTATGTCCATAAAAAGAGTTGTATAGAGACTTAATTCAAAATTGCCCAAACTGGGGATGACCCAAACGTCCTTCAACCTGCGAATGGACATCTATAGATAAATCTCAAATTCATTTTGCTAAGTGAAAGAAGCCAGCCCCAAAAGGCTACATGCTGTGTGGTTCCATTTATATGACACACTGGGAAAGGTGAAATTATAGAGACAATTCAATGGTTGCCAGGAGCTGGGGTCTGGGATGGGATTAACTGCAAAAGGACAGCAGGAGGGAATTTTTAGGAGTGAAGGAACTATTTTGTATCATGACTGTGGTAGTGGATATGCATTTTTCAAAACCCATTGGACTCTATATCAGAGCCAATGAATTTTACTCTATGGCAATTAAAAAATAGATTTAGAAAAGAATAGAAATGTCTTAGATCAAATCACTCATCTGAATTTGAAATAGAAAAAAATCGACCCTTTTCTGAATTACTGTACTGTATTACTGTATTGTAAAATTATACCAATAAGCACTTTTTAATGTTCTATATAGCTTCCAAAAATGGATTTGTTCCTGCTTAGATGTTCAGATGTAATGAATATATCTTATTTTGCTTGCACCATTTATTTTAAATGTCTAGCTTCTATCTTAATCTGAAAACCTTCTGCAGCGTTTTTATTTTATTTTAGCATCCAATTCCACGAGTCAGTTCTCTGGGAAAATTTCCCTCTTTCCTTTCGTTACTTTAACTTAGTTAGTATTTTTATTTTCATGCCTCCTATTTTTCATCAGAAGTGTTTAATTTGGTTTCTCCCAGCGCCACTTTACGCTGTCTCTTGATTTTAAAGCAGTGAGTGACTGCTGAGTGGCTGGCACCCATGGGAGGAGGAAGCCGTGTGGGTGCAGGAGGCAGCTGGGCTGTGTGGGTAGGATGCAATGACTCACTTTGTTCGTGTGTTGATTTTTGATGGAGAAATGTTAAGGACCCCCCCAAAAAAGTCTTTATTTGTATTAAGAGTCCTTAAGTCATCTTTAGTCTTGAAAAACAAACTTTTGAAGCTCCTTTGACCTGTCTTCCTGTTTCATAACTCTAATAAATCTCTTGTGTCTTTCACCTCTGTGTCATCTGATTGGTTTCTCCCTCACCAAATGTAAATTCTGATTTCATGCTCATTAAGCAGACTTTGCACCAAACAGCTTCTCAAGGGTCTGCAGTATTTTTATGTGCTGCACTTCGGTTTTACATTTAGTCACACAGGTCTTGAATGTGGTTCTTTTTATATTTTGATGGGTTCCTAAATTGTAAAAGCAATCAATGTTCATAATAGAAATTGTGGGAAATACAGAAGGCATGAAGAAGAAAATGAAAATAATCCATTGCACAGCTATTAATAATACCATGGTTAGTGTTTTAGTGTACATCTTTTCAGATTTTCTTTTATTCACATGCATATACACATAGAATATAAACATTATAATGTACTCATTAGAATGTATAATTATATTTGTAATGTATATGCTACACATTGCAATGTATATATTATATTTTAATGTTTTTTACTTGATATAGCTTGAATTTACTCTCTGTTGCTAAGTATTCTTCTACCTTATTGTTTCCCATGATTATACGATATACCATTATTTGAAATTATTATGTGTATATATATTATTATTATACATATATACACATAAATATAACCATATAACCAATTTCCTACTGATGGATATTTAGACATTTTCCGTTATTTTATTATAAAAAATATTTCAGTAGACATAACTTACAGGTAAATATGTTCACATTTATAAGAATTTTTTGGAGTAAATTCCAAGGAATAGAATTATTAGGTCAAAGAATATATGTAACTTTAAGGAGTGAAGTCTCCTAGAAAGTTTACACTTCTCCACAGCACAAAAGAGTATCATTTATTTGCATTTTCACTCGCTGTTTTAAAATATTTTTGCCTACTTGTTAGGCAAAAAAATTGGCACTTTATGGTTAGTCTGATGTGTATTTAAAAAAGTGAAATGGAGAATAACTTTTCACATGTTTATTTACCATTTAAACTTCTGTGTATTGGTTTATATCTACTGCCTAATTGTTTAGTATTTTTATTATTGCTGGTTTGTTTTAAGTTGACCAATAAGAGATGATTTATAAAGATATTAACCTTTTATCTCTTACATATCGCACATATTTTTAACAAATTATCAGCTGTCAAATTTGTTATATATTAACATTTTCATTGTAATTGTGAATAGATTCTGTTTTACCACTAGATTTTCCAAATCCTTATTGTGATTATAAAAGAAACTTTTGGTTTTCATAATAATTTTGCATCTTGACACGTTACTAAATTGTATTATTACTTCTAATTGTTATTTAGCTAACTCTGTTGGGTATTTGGTTGACAACCATAACATCTGCTAGTAGATAATTGTGTATTTTGTTTTCTAGAATTATACCTCCTTACTTTCTAAAAATCTTACTGGATTTTCAGAAAGCCGTTATATAGTAGTGGGACTTGTTGACAGCCTTTTATTCCTGATTTTCATGGGAAATAAGCACAAAATTGGCAGTTGTTATGAAATGTATATTATTCTTCATGTTAAGGAAGATCCCTTATATTTTCAATTTGCAATGTTAAAAAAATTTATTTTATGTTTTTTAGAGGTGAGGGTCTTGCTATGTTGTCCAGGCTGGCCTTGAACTCCTGGGCTCAAGCAATCCTCCTGCCTTAGCCTCCTGAGTAGCTGGGACTATGGATGTGTGTCAGTGCCCCCAACTCAGCAATTATTTAAAATGAGAAATAGTTTTTTGAATTTTGGTTGATGTACTTGGAGCATCTGCGGAGATGCTGGGGCACTGAGCTATCCTTGAGTTTCCAAAATAAACTTTAAAGTCATGATCTAGGGTTCTTATAGTATACTAGTTAGTATATTTTGTTGGTTTTTCTTTCATATTTTTGTCTAATCTACAAATGAGTTTGAGACTCATCTAAATTTCATTTTGGTGACATTATTGTCAAATTTTGATATCAGTTTCTACTACCTTGGTGTTGGTCATCTTTGAGCTTTGGGAAAATTTGCATCTGTGGTTATATTTTCCTTAGGTGTGATTTTCTGTACCTTTACTCTCTCTCTTTTTTTTTCTTGATTATATTTGCCAGGGACTTACTAGATATTTATTAATTAATTCTAAAATCTAGCTCTGCTAACTATTAAATAATACAATGATCTATTTGTTTTTTTAAAATCTCATTTACATTTATTACTTTTTGCTATTTTTTATGAATCTCTTTTTTAAAGAATTTTTTTATTTGGGACCTTAGTTAACTTGTTTTAATGTAGAAATTTAACAGAGAGCATTAGCCCTTGTTTCCTACCATTGCAGACGCTCCTTAGTTTCCAGTAATTGTATGATCTCCTTGTTTGAAAAAATGCAAGTTTGTTAACATTTTATAAAACCACTTCCGGGTAGAACTGCAAATTCAAAATTCGGTGATAAGTGAAAAGGGAAAATCCCTATGATTTCCTCATTTCCTCTTTTGAGTACTAAGTTATTGAAACCAAAATGTGCTTGTTGGGCATTATTTAGGTGTCATCGTTCGGGGGCCTTTGTTTTCTGTTTGCAGATATCGCTGTGGTGGAGATGAGCGATGCCTTCCGGCAGCCGTCCTTGTTCTACCACCTTGGGGTGAGAGAAAGCTTCAGTATGGCCAACAACATCATCCTCTACTGTGATACTAACTCAGACTCGCTGCAGTCGCTGAAGGTACCTGCCTTGTTTACTGAGTGTTTAATTTTAGCACCAGCGTTTCGGGGATACCTCTCTGTCATCCAAAACAGTTTAAGTAGCTTATGTTTGTAAAAGGATGTTTGTGTCAGTGTGATCGTTATGCACCAGTTACGAGTTCAGCTGTGAGGTTTATCTGGATTTCAGTGTAGAGATTTGATGACACACAGGTAGGAAAAAGTGCTTGTTGAGTTCTGAGTTTCAGTTAGAGCTGCAGCCAAGGAGACTGTGCTAATGGAAGTCATCAGCACACACCTCCAGGGAAAGAAAAGGAGATTGCATAAGGTACTGTCAGGTCTCCTGCTGTGTCACCACTGGGGGCTTCACTGTGCCCACCTGTCTCCAACTACAAGCACACTTCCTACTTAAAAGTGCTGTAAGCAGAAATTCCCTCTTGAGTATCCTGAAAAAATTGCCACCCTCTTTCACTGGTGTATGATTTAAATTAAGATGGGAGAAAGGGAATACAAATTTCCTGTATTTGTCTACAAAATTCAACCTGTCTCAGTGTCATTCTCTCCATGAATAGGAACTTACTCATACGAAGGCGTTTCCTCCATCCAGAAAGGTTGCTTAAAATACTTTTCCAGGGCCAAGTGATTTTATCCTGTGTGATTCTTTGAAAAGCGCCTCACAGTTCAGTGAGACTCACGCTGAGCCTGACAGCATCCACTTCCCTTGTGAAGCTTGCGGCTCGCTCCATGTGGCTTTTCTCAGCTGTCTCTTCCTGCTGCCAAATCAAAGCCAACCTGGGGACATGGAGCCCTAGAATTCAGAACCATATTTCTAATGGCTTAGCAATTGTCACATGGGTATCTCTAACCCGAAATTCATGCAAAAAAATGTCAGTAGTATTTTGCTTTTATCTCAATATCTAAAGCACATGTGGCTTTCTCTGAAAAACCTGCAGAGCTTCATTGAGCAACTATATTTACCGCATGCCAGACATTGTGCAGGGAATGGACGGCGTGTCCCTTTCCAGATACTCTGAAATAGCCCTAAGAGATTTGCTCCTACTTCTCTGAAATCCATTTTTTACCTAGAGCAATCCTTAAGAAACCCTAACTAAATTTCCTCCAGGTTTACCCCTTTGATTAATGCACCCTAAAATTTTGTAACTATATACATACATATATATATGTATGTATATATATATCTATATGTCTGAATACTATTCCACTGTATGTGTGTATATAGT